ATAAAAACAATCCTAAAAATAAATAAATTCCAGTAAGATAGAAAATTGGCAAGTAATTCCAGGGAGCATCATCATGGGGCTAACCACCCCCAGGGGCGGGTAGAGCCCATATCACCTGATGCACACTGACCGAGCCAGGTCTTTAAATCTTTTCGGGAGGGCAGTGCACTTATAATAATGCACTTGTTTTCCCTCTCCTGAGCTTGTCATGATACACATTAGGAAACTCCTGTGACTACTGCTGTTTATCTTGGAAACTTCTAAAATCACATCTTACAGTAATACATTTAGAAGCATCTCACAGAAAAAAGTTATTTGTAGGCTGCTTGGAGGTTTTAGAAATGGAGTGGCATATAAGCTGAACGAACAAATGAATCTATTTGTAGCCATTTAAAACAAACACACATTTTGACTTCTTTGTAAAGGGGAAGTGAGTGGGATGTACTTTAAACTTCATATCTGAAGTGCAGCTGAAACCCCAAGCTTAAGGGTTAAAAGACATGCACCATGGAATCAATTTTATTTCCAGTACAAGGATGCCCCAGTGAACACCTGTTTCTTCAAAGAAAATGCAACTTTGTCCCAAACAAATGCTCCATAAGATGTCACACCATCCTATGCCAAATAAAACCAGACTTTCTTAGTGGATCTGTCAATGACTTACACTGAAGAGTTTCACCTCCTTTCTATTTCTGATCTCTTCCACAAGTCTCAAAGGCTTTCCCTTAGGCACTGGGATTGTTCCAAGTATCACAGTTCCCGATTCATTCAACATTTGTTGGACATCTTGAATAAATGTCTGGCTGAAGAGCTCCATTTTACCAATCTCATCAATTATGCAGACTTTTTTCATTGCACGGCTGCCAAAATCAGCCTACAAGGAAAATATATATAGGATAAAAACACTCAACAACAAAGTACAAAATATTTTTACATGACTTAAATCACAGTTCTATACCAGGGATACACTCTCTGATGCCCTCCTGATCTTTGGGCTTCAGTTCAGAGGCAGCAGGGTAAACAGCAAATGTCACTGAGAGCTGCAGGACAAAACATGTGAAGGGCATCAGGTTATCTATTCTGCCTTTAGAATAAAAATAATTCAGTTTCAAGATAATTGTTTCTTACAAAGATATTTGACATTGTCATACATTTTGATAGACCACCAGCTAGTAAAAAGGTCCATACAATGGCCAAGCTGCATATTCAATATTTACACTTGCCTCTGTGTCTGGGATGGGGTATGCGTGCTCTCTGTATGTTACTGAACCACGCTCCTTGCAGCTCTACTGACTATGGACATTGGTAAGGAATTTTTGGAGGAGCTGTTCTTCAACATCTGGAGGGTCACAGGTTCCCCACTCTGATCTATGGAAGCATCCAGTATTTTTAAAAAAACCATGAGAACAGACATCAGTTGGTTTTATGTCTAGCTGCCCTGTTCCCCAGCATATGAGTTTCCCCTTTCTATATGTAGAGCTAAAGTTGGCAAAAACTGTTAGCACAACTGTTAAAAGATAAGAAAAGGGAATGTAAACAACAACATAGTCCTGAAAAAGGAGGAAGCATGAGAAAAAGGCTCAAAATAACTTGGCTTTGATTCTGTACGGTATAAGACAGGGCAGAGGGAAATTTTACCGGGCTTCCAAAATTCTGTTATTATACCCTACAACAATAAAGTAGAGTTCCAGTAGTTCCTGCGGTATCTGTTTCCTGACCTGGCCTGTCTTGAAGGGCTGACACTCTAAGTCAAAGTCTACTACATGCTGTGCTCAAATCCCAGTGACCTTATGAACACAACCTTGTTTTCTTTGCGACAAGACAGAAATGTTTGTCACTGCCATTTTCTGGGACTTTTTTCAATTTCTCAGTTTAGACCACTTCTGTAGAATTTCTGGTGGTTTCCCACCCAAATATGGACCAGATCCAACCCTACTTTGCTTTTCAAGAACAGCCATCATCTAGGTGCTGTTACCTGGCTGGAGTCAAATTCTTAGATATTATCAAGAGATGTTCACAACTGAGGTTCAAATAATTTGGAGGTAGTCTGAGCTACATTTAAAGCATGTATTCATGGTAAGACAATAGACTATGTAATTGAAGTACTATTTACTGAACATTTGGAAACCTACATTGGAAACATCATCTGCTAAGGGCCATACAGGTACTTGTTCCTTTTTCATATTTTACTTATGAGACTACTTTGCTATGTCTCTTGTATTACCATGAGAGATGCAAAGAAATGAACATTTTCATTTAAAAAGTCTTTAAATTCATGATCACAAAATTCTTCTGTCGGTGAATAAATATCCACAAAAGTGTGAAATGAAAACTTCCAAGATACAATATGCTATTTAAAGAATGAGTATGATCACACTGTTTTGAGAGACCCGCCACTTTTTACATGAGCATTTAAAGCCCCATAAAATACAGCCTATGCATTTTCATGAAAACTCGTACACCAAAAAACAAACAGTTCTACTATGTAACTTACATTTCTCAACAAAGGAAGAGCCAACTGTTCAAATGAAGCTAGATCTACAACATACTGGCCAACACGATATTCATGCCTTGCTGCTGAATGACCAGAGCTACATGAAGAAAACATATACAGCCAAATATTTACCTGATCAACTATAACAAATAGTAGAAATATAATATGAGCAAACCAAAAGCCACATATGTTTCAGCACATAGCAATGAACTTCAGGATAAAAACATATAGTAAAATAATGTGGATATGTTTACATGCATGGTTTCAATTATATAGTATTACAGCCTCCAGTCTGGTTTGCCATGCCCCTCCTCCTTCTAATGTTCCCTCACCTTTCCTAGGTGCTCCAAAACAGCCACAAAATGCAGCTTGAAGGAACAAATAGTATTCAGAGACATATTGGCCTTGAGGTGATAGACCAGAGTGGGAGACTGGCCACTGTCCTTTCAAATGTTGTAGAAATGCAGCATAACTTTTAAATGGGACTATTTTGCTAATTTCTTCACCCCATTAGCACTGTACATTATGATGGGGATGGTGCTGAACATGCCCCTCCCAGTCACAAATCACAACAGCTTATTCAGTTATATGCTGTTTTCTTACCACTTAAAACCAACATGCCTACACATTAGACTAATAGTCACCACATGACAACTTTACAATCTCATTTGTCATTTCATAGATTTCTGGTCTTTGTGTGTGTAAAGCACAATGGCCTCAAAAAAGCATTCCACAGAGGATTTTTAAAAATGAGTGCCAGAAAATATATTTTAAAACTTCAGTACCCAACTCTAGACAAAATTCCTCTTCTTCCATTCAGAGTGACAACATCAAACCCTATTCTCCGGCCACCTTCTCTCACTTCCTCTGTGTAAAATCCATCAATGGGGAGACCAGATGATTTTAAAATTTCAGCAGCTTTCCGTATCAGTGTTGTTTTTCCAATTCCTACAGCAAAAATAATCTTTGTTAAGCTTCACTTTTAATACTACTCATTACTAAAACAAAGTAAATATTACTTTAGGACTGTTTGATTCCTTGTTTCTACCTATTACAATGCGGACTTCATATTGTAAATCTTTGTGCTCTCCTATCATGCTAGAAATATGTGCCCCATTCACATAACACAGTTAACTGTGTTGGGAGCAATATGTCATGTGATCAGGAAAACTGGGCCAACTGACCCAACCACTTAATTCTAAGAGGGTAGATCATTGTCCTTAACAGCCCTTGAGCTATTGTCCAAACAGCTTACTGGGGAGTGAGTCAATCCTTTCTCCACTTGAAGTACAGACACTGCAAAAATGGGGTCTCTACAGACATTCCTTCTCTGGAGCTAGTTTGGTTTCTACCTCCCCACCCAGCCATACTATGTGTGTGCGTGAAAAACAGCAGAGGTACAGTATATGGAGGTGTCACTGCAATTTCTCCCTCTGGCAAAAAAAAAAAGGAACTAGGAAAGGAAGTGAAAGCCACCAACTGGAAAGAGACAACATCACTCAGTCATCCTGACTTGTGTGCTATCAGTCCACAGAGATGAGTGAATTGGTCATAGAAAGGGATCAGGTATATCATACAAAGACAGTCATAGGGTAGGAAGATCCAGCTAGCTCTCTCCTCTCAAAATTATGTATCTCATTTTTCTGAAATTCTACCACTCCCTTCACTAGCTTCCTAACCTCTCCTGGATCTTAAGCAAACATCTTCCTCTTATCTCAAAGCCTCCAAAGGTTAAGCCATCTTTATCTCTCTGTTATACATAAATCCCAATACTTCCAATACTGTGATCTTTGTTCATGATATTCTACAACTCTCAAGTCTCTCTGGAATGCCTCCACTAATTTTCTCTGGCTGGTTCTAATCAGGGCTACCAGATCTGCTCTGCAAAACTCCAGATCACCAGTTGATTACAGCAAAGAACTGGAGTTTTCTGTATCTTTTTGCTGCCATCTGGCAGGCCAGATCTGCAAACCCTAGTTCTTACTACCTGATTGTTCTTCAGAATATCTCCATGGGCCTTGTCCTTTGTTCCCTCTAAATCCCTCCTCAAAACTCACCTTTTTCGGGAAGTAGAGGACCCTTCTAGTCCCTTTATCTTAATCCCTAACTCTACCCAGACTTGATTTGATTCTTTATCAGCCAGAGTGTGCCAGACAATTCCAGGCAGCAGGCTTAAAGAGAACCTCAGCTTCAGATAGCAACTTCTCCATGCAGGAATGTGGGGTGGGAGCAATCTTTCCCCACCTGTCAACTCAGAAAAAAGCACTTTTCATCTGCAGCTGTATAGAGAACAGCAAAGTTGTGTTTGTTGTTCTGCAAATGCTGCTCTCACCCCTTGCTTTTCCCAAGGAGAAAATATGCAGGATAGTTAGAGCAGAGTTCACATTTGAGGCCCTGCAGGTACAGTGGGCCAGATTAGGGCTGTAGCCTTGGAGATTCAAAACCCCTAATTTATAGGAGCCAAGCAAACGTATGTATAATTGGAGTAATTATATCCTCTTTCCTGCTTATTCATAGATATATCTTGTTTTATTCCTTTCCTATTTATTTGAGTTCTATCCTACCTTTTTTCCAGGAACTCAAAGCAGTTTATAAAGGGACTCTCCCTCTATTTCATTGCTACAACAACCTTGTGAGGTAATGGGGGTGGGTGGGTGGGGAGAATAGCTATCCCAAACTCCTCTAGTGAAGATGAATTTGAACACAGGCCTCCTCAGACCTAGTCCAACACCTTAACTACTTTGTCAAACTGTACCTGTTTCAGGTTACAAGATACTCAGATTAGGGACTTGCACATGAATAAATATACAAGATGGTGGCAGATCCTATAGTACTGGAGGGGGGGGGAGCATTCCTCCTTTGCATCCATGGAGGGTGTATAGATAATACTGGGAACTGGAGATCCACTGTCACATTTGAGCTTCTCTGCAAGCAGGGAACTGAGTTATACTGAAGAGAAATCCACTGCCATTTTGGGAAGGCATTCCCATGTATCAGTTTCTGAAGGCCAGCAACAGAAATACAAGAACATCTGCTGGAGAATTTTGTGACTGCTGTCTCTGTCAAGACCTTCTCCAGAAGTAATTAATGAGGGATTTCATCTTAATTTCCACGTCCTACGGGACACTACCCAATAAAAGCTTGTACTCATTCATATAATCTCCACTCTACCCCAAGCCAAGTTACTGTCATCCTTATAATCCTATCAATATGTAAACGACTGTTTTTATAACTCTTAATTTAAAACTTTCAGGAATCTATTCCAGCAACAACTGACCTGCAATAACTAATAGCAAATCGCCATGCAAGTAGGACTGAACAGAAGCAGTTCTAATACGGCCTAGTGGGCCCACCAGGTAAATTAACATTCACTCAAAAATAAGCTCCACTGTGTTTCCGCCGGTGGGCACACCTCACGGCCTTATCTACAAAGGGGCTCGGAACTGGCGTGGCTCGCTGTCGCATAGGCAAAGGCTAAACTGATCCTCCAAAGCACGTTCACTCGGAAGAAAGCCTCTCCCCGCGCTAGCCCGGAAATAGGACGTTGCGAAAGCGAGATAGGATCTGCAAGCGCGTCTTGCCGGCTGTTCCCGGGACGCTCGACTCGCTCCTGCACGAGACCTCGCTGGCCGCGCGCCGAAGCAAAGGCCGCTTTCCTTGCGGCCGGGGAAGGCCTCGTTCTCTCCCTGCTCCGCCCGCTCGCTCTTCCCTCCTGGAGGCCGTGAGCTTGTCCGCTATCTCCTGCCTTCTCGCTTGGCGGAGAGGGGAGTTACCTGGGGGTCCCGTGAGGAAAACGTGCGTGGCCATGTTGGTCAGGAGCCACAGAGAGCCCGTGCGCGGGGCGGGGGAGAGATCGCGGCCCCGAGCCTTTCTCTCTTCCTCCAGCCGCTTGGGGGCGGGGAAAAAAAGCCGTGGTGCATCTGGCTTTTGTGGCCAGCCTTTCTGCTCTTTCCTTTTGCAGCCCTTTCCCGCTCCTTGAGAGCAGTTTTCTGGAGGACGAAGCGCCCTGCACGCTTCACCGGGGCGTAAATTCTGTTGGGACTGACTTCAGCGCAGGGGCGCAGAGTTGTGCGGGCTACGCAAGGCCGTTTGAGTCGGGGTCGCTGCTCCGAATGGAGTAATTGCAGTGTGTGGGTACGACGGGAAGTGAAGCCTCCTGCCAGTTTCTCTTTTGGGGAAAACTCACCCAGTGCGGCCAAACTGGGTGGCCGACTGAGCTGGATGCTTTCCCCATCCTGCTTCCTCTTGATAATCGGCAACTTCTCTCGTTGTCAGCCATATCCCGCTGCCCGCCTTAAGTATTTTGTAGTCCAGCACTTTTGATGGTCAATCTTGGTAGGGCGCTTCAAATGGCAATAGGGCAGCCTCGTTACAATATTTCAACATATTTATTTTCTCCCCTTTTTGGGGGGGATGCAGTGTTTGTGATTTAACATAAATGGTGTTACGTGCATAGAAATTGGACTAAGTGAACCAAGTTCCAATGTACAGTATACCCAATCCCGAAATTCATGTGGGCTAGCTACTGGGGTGCATTTTATCTGAAAGGGAGTCAATTGAATGGCAGTTCAGGGCATTGGAAATAAGACAGCAATGGTGTCAAATGGGGGATCAGTGGAAAAACTCAGAACTAAATAAGAAACAAGGGAAATAAAAAATACAATATTCTCCTTGGGTGGAAAGTTAGTGCCAAACAATCCTTTTTGAAAAGAGCAAGACAAGTAAAGTCTCCTTCATGGATGGATCCAAGTAGTTTTCCTGGCAACAATATGGAAATGAGTTGCCACTGCTTTTTGGGTACAGGTAGTTCTTGTTTAGCGACCACAATTGGGACCAGCAACTTGGTCATTAAGCAAAGCGTTCACTAAATGGAACCGCAACTGTGCTTATGATCTTACTTAAGCTTTCCTTTGCTTTACAGACCTGCGAAGGTCATGAATGTGGGCACTGGTCGCAACGTTACTTTTTCATCACCATCATAACTGCGAATGGTCGCTGTATGAGGAAGTTGCTAAATGAGGACTACGTCTATATTTTTTCCATTTCTCAATGTAGCCAACATCTCTGGCATTCCCTGGTGGTCTGCCATCCAAATAAAAGCCTGGCCTAGCTGTGATTTCTTCGTAAATCCAGACAAAGTCAGCAAGTGCTATCATCTGTAGCAGCGGTTCTCACACATTTTGGTCTCAGGACCACTTTACATTCTTAAAAATGATTGAAGACCTCAAAGAGCTTTGGTTTATGGGAGTTATACCTATTGAAATTTACTGTATTAGAAATTAAAACAGAGAGATTTAAAAATATTTGATGTAGACCCCCTGAAAGCGTTTCTGGCTGGTGCACAAAAGAAGGCCAGTGCAAAAGAAGGTGGCCCGAAAGAAGACCCCTGCTACTAATCATGCATGGCACGGCAGGCGTGGCGGCAGGCAGGGCCGGGCAGTGGGTAGGCAGCCGGCCAAAAGAGCAGAGATGGGGAGATAGGTGGATGGGGGGAGTTTGAGTGAAGGCAGTCCCGTACCTTCTTCCAAGAATGGTTTGGATCTGGGTGTTTCTGGGGCATCCTTTGGAAGCGCTCTTTGTAATTTTTAATTGTGCTGAAAGTTCCTTTGGGAGTAGTAGTCAGTCTATGACTGATGGAGATGTATATTTAAAACTCAGATTGCATTTGTACAATTTCTTTATTTGATGAGTACACTGTATTTTAATGTTTTGTTTGAAATTTGAGGTATAGCTCATTAGCTCATTCTAGCAAATTGTCAAGCAAGAGGAATTTTATATATCCTACAAGTGTCTTTTAAATTCTGGATGAATTTCTAGACCTTTGGTTTAAATAAAGGAAATCAATTAAAGACCAGTTTCCAAATCAGTGGCTGAGAAAAGAGGTCATTTGATATATACTAGTATTATACTAAGATAGGAAGGAGAGCAGGCAAACAGTAATATTTTGTAGCCTCTGCCTTTAATTGGTTTCAGTGGCTAACACTGAAAGAAACGTTATTATAAACCAAAGCTCTCAGCCTAGAGATACTCAAAATTGAAGGGGAAAAAGAAGCAGTGTTTCTGAAGCATTTATTTTTATTATATATGGACCTACCCAGAGCTTTTAAGAGGCCCAGATGGCAATCTGAATTTTTTATATTTTCTAAAAGCATCATGAGGGATTTTTAAAAAAATAGTATAATTCAATATTAACATCTAGTACATTCTCGTTTTTTAAAACATTCCTGTCCATAAGTATATTTTTTTCCTTCATACATGCTCAAATACCAAAGGAGGAAACATATTAGCTGGAAAGGTCTAGGCTGGATAATGCATGTTTGAAAAGAGGAAAAAAAGGGAGGGTGAAGGAAGTGCGGCTCTTAAGTGGCAGAAGTCTTGCTGTTGCAGAATATGTGTAACTCTACAGTACTGTAAAGTTGGGAATCAGAGAAATCTGATGCAAACTGGTAAGGATTTGCCGTGAGAAGCAAGAAAGTTAACTTGAGTGTTTAGGATCTGGCTGTGCAGGTCTATACCCGGAAGGAGTTTGAAATAGAGGAAACAGACTCTTCAGATGTTAAGGTAAATAGATTGTGGAAACTCAAAGGGTCTTAGCAAACATGAAGCCTGCCAAGAAATCAGAATTTTGGGCTCTGGAAGTGAGAGGGGGATTGTCCAGAAGAGTAGAGAAGGCAGAAACAAGGCTCAGAATTTGGGAAGGGGTATAAAAAGCTGCAGGAGCAAGGCGTTTGGTGTAGAGACAGACTTGATTCAAACAGGCAGAGGGAGAGAAGTGGGACTGGCTGAAGGCAGCAGTTAGAAAGAGGAGAAGGAAAAGGAAGTAGCTGGCTTAAGGAAGTAAAGGGAGTAAGAGCCAAAGCTTTAAAGCAAGGGACCAATAGAAAGACTACTAATGAGTAAGAAGGAAAAGACTTGTTCAGCAGCATTCTGCCCTTCTGGCATGGGTGGGTGGATGGGAGTTGGATTGTTTGACAATATGTTGTGTTTTTGAAATGTATTGCACCTTTAAAGACATTGCTCAAGGCAGAGATTCATTTCCATTGGTTCCATAGCTTCTGTCATTCACAATCCCTCTTGTACCAGTGTAATACTGTTTGCCCATCTGTATGGTTATTGGTTCTGAATACAAGCAGTAAAGTGAAGTTGTTCTTGTCTATTCATAACTCTGGTGATTCGTATTTTTCTTAATGGAGTTGGGAGGGAAGGATGAAGTTGCCCTTTTTTAGAATTCCTCTGCTGGCTGAAGTGTTGGCAGAAGGCTTGTTCAAAGCGATTTGGACAGAAGCTGAAGGGATTCCACTGAGAAAAACGCCTTCTTGAACTCAGAATTAGCTCCCGTGTTAAAATAGAAGCTTTAAACGAGCAACATGTGTACCTACCCCAAGGTATGCTTTCTCTCTATACAGCAAGCTAGGGGTAGTCTACCTGCTGCTATCTTTCCTGTGCCTTTGCTGTGTGTAGGTGGAGTGGGCGCAGGAACCACCCCCAGTGTGCTAGGAGTATTGTGGTCCATGCAGGATAGTGTCAACACCACATTGGGGGATGTGTGTGGTATGTGTGTGATGTGGACCAGGTGGGTGGTGGATTAGGATGTGCGTACCAAGCCAGAATGGGTGTGTGGCATTTTCATTGCATAGCAAATGCTCCAGCCAACTCAGTGCTTTCTAATTCTTCATATTTCAAGTCATATGTTCTTACTTCTGTCACATCATATAGAACTGTAACCTTTTTTATCAGATTTAAAGGGTTGATGTTGTATAACAGATTTTAGTACACAGGCAGCAGCATATAATACTTTTCTACAATCACTCTCACTTTTGCTACAAACATTATCTACATTTTCTTATTTATGCAGAATATTGTCAAGTTTTTAAAATTGTTCTTAATGATGTTTTAAATTAGTTTTTAGTTTTATTCTTATTTTTAGCTTCCTCAAGTGTTATTTGTTAACAGAGAGGCAAAATATAAATCCAATAAAATAATTAAAATTAAATTACACATGGAATAAAAGAAATAGTTATAACCAGAAAGTAATGCATGGGAAACTGTACTGGACAATTTCTGGTGGAGCTAAGTGCAAATAAAAGAAACAGGGAGGAGCTTTTCAGGGGGTTATGTCAATTTACTTTAAGGAAAGAGTTCTTTAGCATAATCTCTCTTTTTTTTTTGTACACATGTCCCATGTTACAGTTTTATTGCACATATTTGATTCATTTCAATGGTTTAGTTTGTTCAAAAGACATCCACTCATTTCTTCCATCAACAACTAATCTATTGCTGCTTAATTTGTAAGGGTTCCCCCCTACCCCCACCAAATAAATTTATTAAAAAAAGGATCAGGAGATTCTTTAACTTCATCTAACTGGAGGATGGATGAGGTACAGAGAGAGGACATCACATATTTTCATACCATTTCTGAATCTAAGCTATTCCAAACTATTTCAAGTTGCATATACAGCTCAGCAAAACAGCAACAGAATGAGAGCAGATGAAGGTATGTTTACTGTATGTAAATCACTTCATGCAACCATAATGTGACATTATAATTAACTCCCCTGGAAAAAGAACATCTCATTTGTAATTTAACTGGCCACATTTTCCTCCAAAAAGCCTCTCATAACCACATGGTTAAACAATAGCCGCATTTTCTGGAAATGTGGAACTGGAAATTAACACCTGGTGTAATGTAGTGGTAAGCTACGGGCCTAACAGTAGTCAATGGCTCAGCGGATGTCCTTATTAACATGTCATTTTGACAGAACAACACTGAACAATTTAACTTCTGGCAAGCATACCAATTAATTAAACTGACTCTGTTTTAATTATGCTTGTGCCACCCAAATTGTTTCTCTGCCATATCACTGAAGAATGTTTCTGGGTATAAAGCTCACTGCA